TTACTTTGCTGAGCGAATAATTTCTTACTGTTGATACTTGTGACTGCATACCTATGGGAATAATTTTTATGTTAAGCTTTATATGTCAAGCAGCCATAACGCTGTGATAGCTTTTAGTCAGCATTTTTTTTTTTTACTTTCTGCACGCACCCGAGCATGCTTGCGACACGCATTGAGCAATTTTTTTTCATGTTATGCTGCAGGTTGGCAACACCATTCACACGCGTTATTTTTCAGGCGAACTTTCTCGCAACCTGGATTGACAATACAATTGCACCGTGACTTTTGATAGCAATGAAAGACTCCAATTGTGGAGGTTTTATCGTACAATCTGCGAGGGCAAAGTAATAGCCATGGAGTCTCTTCTTTGGCGATGACAGCAGGATCTTCCCAGTTGTTCACATGGCTTGTGGACGGCAAGTGCATTTTATGTCACATTACAGTATTTTCGTAACCTTGTCTTGAAATAGTCTCACCGAGACAAACATCTGTGCAAACTGCGTGTGAGGTTTTGTAGACGACACCTGAATACTTCTGCTCTAACTCGTCCTTGACTAATCAGGCTGTTTCCAAGTTTTCGTGCAGATATATGGAATACCTGATGTCGTTGGAGTGCCACACTGATTTGACGCTCTTTTCTTTGCTGAAAGATTGCTTGGTTGGACCTGTCGTGAAAGTTGAATTGATGGATGGGTAGCCACATATGGTGAGCTTCTCTACGTCTCTTCCTTGAAAGTCTGCTGAGCCTGTTGTATGAGTGCCGAGACGACAGAGTGTTTATTGCACAAAGGATTGAGCAATCTAAAATTCATACAGTGGTTCAAATGTGTGCTTTCCTGTAGACAGAGAACTACAAGCGGCGATGTTTTTATTTTACGAGGACCTCAAGGAAAGAGAGGCAGCTCTCTGCTTCTTCGACAGTAAATTATATAGTCCTCGACTGAATTCAGCTGAGCTGTATATACCAGCAGGGCCGCACATATTGAAATGCAAAAGGAAACGTCAATATACCACAAGAAAATGTTTGGTGGGACAGCAAATGAGGACAAAGCATGACTCTTGATTGCTTCTATGGCAAGGTTTGCGACAGACACAGACGCACCAATGGCAGTTCCATGTACCTATCTGTCTATAACACTTGTTCCAGAACGCGAAGCAAGTGTTCTACAAGCAGAAGCGAAGAAACCTCGTCAGGTCTGCAACCTGTTCTTCTTGGTGGTGGCCCATGTGACTCGAGGGTAGCTGTGCACACTTCAATGGCAAGCTCAACTGGTACGCTCGTGGAGACTTTACATCAAAGGACACTACCACTTTGCCTTCTTTTAGTGACAAGTCGCACACCTTGTCAATAAAATCGGCAGAATTTTTAATAAGCGCCCAAGTTTGTCCAACAAGAGGGAACAGGATTCTGTACAGATAGCCAGACAACTTGAATATTGTGAAATCGACAATAGGGAGCAAGGGCACATCAGGTTTACATATCTTCAAAAGGCCATATGGAGCGGAGCCATTAGTGCACAGAAGTCAGTAATACACAGGTTTGTGTTGTGTGGCACCATGCAGAAGATGTCAGCTATTTCTGCAGATCCCTTTGAAGCTTTGCTGCTTATTCAGACAGGCTTAATACTCTCCTCCTCCAGAGGTGCAGACATTTTTAGTCATGTAGTCTTTGGTGTCAAGTGAAGCACTAGCCTTGCCTTTGTCGGCACAGCTTTGTGCACCTGGCAACGATTTCGTTTAGTTGCAGGGCACACAACAATCACTTCACTTGCTGCACAGGCCCCGTTTGCAAAAAATAGTGCGCTTTTCAAACACAGCGAACTAACAACTTGGGTACTTTTTTGTTTGCACTCATACCTGTACCTGTGATTACATTTCGTGCGTACTTTTTGTTTAAACAGCACGTAAAGTGTCGACCTGTAACCGTTGTAAGTTACATCTCGTCTTGTGTGTTGTGTTTTGGTGAGTCATTTGTGCATGAGCAGCGTGCAGCACATTTTGATCTGCTTGCTGTTCTCAGCGACACATTCCAAGTTGTTGCTATCGCATTCATTGCTTCACCCTTCCTGCGAAACTGACTTCTTTCTTTTTGTGTTGAAATGTCTTGCCTGGCGAGCCTCGTTTGTCACCTGCTGTGCACCCCTGTCAACAAAGTACTGTTGACAACTCAAGGGTATGCAGGCCCTGCACTGTGCAGTGCCTTGGCGAAATTCCAAAGGAGGTCAGCATATTCACATGGGTTATATTGCCACCATTAAATCAAGAGTGCACATTTTCATTGTTTGGTGTCTGAAGAAAGCGTTTTTTGAAGTGCACTCCCACACGACCATGCAACATTTCCTTAGGGTTTTAAGTTTTCCCATGAGGCATTTAGCAAGTAATTTTGGATGAGCCAGTTCCGGATAATTTGGCTTAACAGCTTCAATACCAGATGCTGAAAGCTGTTCTTCATGAACGAATGGTTCACCATAAAACTGGGGTTCGTTGAATTTACACCACGTTTCGGCCTCCTTCGGGCAAAGGCCGTGGATGGCCGTGGATGTTATATTTAGAGGGGGGAAAAAAGTATCGAGAGAAACAAATGACTTATTCTAGTTCAGAAATGACCGTAGATTTCAAATAATGTAAAAAATGACTTAAAAATATTTTTGCTCGCCCTATTCTCTTAAAGTGAAGCCTTTGGTGATTAAATGTTTGCGCTTCTTAAGAAGCAGGTTCTACCAAAAAATTCAAGGATGAGTGGCTTACAACTGTTTTTAGATGAAGAAAACCTGCTTCCAACTGGTGGGAGACTACAAAACCTCAATGAAAGCCCGTTGGTGCTACCTGACAGTCATTATTTAAGGTTTGTTCAAGCTTGATATTTCTTCATCCGCAAAATGCATAGAGTCAAAACTGCAACATTAAACCACCTGAGAGAGCACTTCTGGGCCATAAGAGCTCAGCGAACACTAAATTTTCGAATAGTTAATCTACATTGTCATTTTTACTTGTGCATGAACGACAGCGATACACTTGTACAGTAAACCTCTGTTAGGAGCAGCTTTGTTAAGACTAATTCTTACTTAAGACGAACAGAATAGGAGTGTTTGTTCTCAAGACGAACCACGTAACAGGCCTCTTCTGTCAAGACTAACTTTTGTAGCAACCAACAACGACGGGCATTCTGCGCAACAAGCGAGTCTTCATCGGGGGAGGCATTCAGGCGAACAAGAGAAACCAAAATAAAAAACACTTCCTAGTGCAAAGAGTCAAAGCGAATAGAAAGCTGATTGCGACGTGGAGGAAGAAAGCCAGATAAGTGGAAAAGAAGAGTCAGCACATAAAGCTGGTATCTCTCTCACCACTAGCCCGTAGGTAGAAAAAGGGCCGGCTTTATCGGAAAGAAAGCAACAAAAAGCATTTGTCCTTTCGTATTCCCCTCACGTTCTTCAGTTCCTCAACAAGAGTACAGAGTGAAAATACAAGAGCTTGGATAGAGGGGAAAATGCAAGTAAAATGGGATGAAAAGAGTGAAATAAAAGTGAAAACGGGAACGAAAATTGTCTCCACATTAGGATCACATGAAGTGGATACCACATATGCGGCACTAGCACTCACATCAGAGGAGTCACATGCATTGTCATCGCCATCACACTATAGCACCTCAGCACATGTTGTGGTTAGTTCGCGTTGTTTTGCACAGAGCCTGTGCGCATCGTACCTGTTCCCAGTGAAATGCAGCAAATTGTGATGCTTCATTATATATGAAAGTGCACTACAAAGAAAGGCCAATTCGCACACTAAATATAGCTGCTTCGTGTATTTTTCGTGTGCCCGACGCCTGTGATCTTGAGTAACGTAAACGGAGATCTTCACCTGCATGTCATTCAGGAAAAGTTACTACGGGCCGAAAATAAGAAAATATTTGAACCTCAAAAAGAAAAAAAAATAAACTACTTGGCGTATATTGGCTTTGTCAAGGTAGCGGTGTGCAATGAAGGCATATCCAGAAGTGGCTGCAAAGTTAGTAGAACAGCCTCTCAGAACGTTAACAGCCAGAAAAATAAATTTTCCATCCTTTGAAAGAAAATTCTGCTTGTCTCTTTCTTTTCATTATCAATTTCTAACCATTAAAATAGGGTGATGCTACAGTTTTGTTAAAATATGGTAGCAATTCATTCATGAGAATACTTATTAGAAACCGCGAAATCGAGTACTTGTGCATCATCATCATCACCCTGACTATGCCCACTGTAGGGCAAAGGCCTTTCCCATGACCCGCCAATCAGCTCGGTTTTGTGCTTGCTGCTGCCACTTAATATCCGCAAACTTCCTAATCTTATTGTTAAAATGTTAGCTCAAATGCAGCGCCCCCACGCGGCGCTGATAGTTGTGTTGAGCTGTGCAAGCCTGGCACAGCAGGGGGGGGGGGGGGGGGGCATTTTGGAAGAATAAACACTGTTCTTTCTGGGCAAAGGGCTCAACATGTTCTCATGTTCTTCATGGGCCTGATGGCCTACTGTTCATGATGGTCACTACCGCCCAGCCATCCGTTAATCTACTCATTTAACAACTGGCGACGAGGATGAAAGGAAGTTTCGTGTAAGTTTTCGTTCCCACACCGTGTTGCCATCTGTTCACCATGCCAAGTTTCGGCAACCTCGAGCCGTTCGAGGGGAGAGGAGACGAGTGGCCCTGTTACGTGGACCGGCTTCAAGCATTTTTCCTGGCGAATGATGTTGCCCCAAACAAGCGTACTGCCGTGTTCATCAGCTGTGGCGGGTAGAAAACGTATGCTTTGCTCCGCAATTCGGTCAAGCCCGCCAAGCCCAGTGACAAGACGCTGGACGAGATTCTTCAAGTTCTTGGAAGCCATTACTGTCCGAAGCCCTCTGCCGTTGTGCAGCATTTTCATATCAACTCGCACGTTCGCGCGGAAGGGGAATCCGTCAGCAATTTCATCGCAGCACTAAAAAGCCTGTCCGAGCACTGCAACTTCGGGGCTGAAACTCGAAAACATGCTCCGTGACCGCGCCGTGTGTGGCATAGACAACGTCGATGTCCAGACAAGACTTCTGAAAAAACTGGACCTCACATTCGACGACGCTGTGCAGACCGCCCTGGCAATGAAAGCAGCAAAAAAAGGACGCAGGTGAGATAGCGCAAGCGAACACAAGCGGGGCTTTCTCAACACCGTGTCTCGTCAGGTTCTGGGGGCGTCACCTGCTACCGCTGCGGAGACGGACATCTCGCATCGAAATGCAAACATGTGAAGACAATCTGCAATTACTGCCACAAACGAGGTCATTTGGCGAAGGTGTGAAATTCGAGACGAAGGGACAGCCAAGCCCAAAGCAACAGCCCTACCAAGGCCCGTTCATTCTTGGCTTGCAGTTCACCGTCGTCGAGTAACCATCATCGTGTTAATACTCTACACAAGCAGGACGCCGCTAGCACCTCCGCCTTTCACCGTCACTGTTGACGTTTGCGGCAAGCCGCTTCGCATGGAAGTGGACACGGGAGCAAGCGTCTTTATCATGGCCAAGTCGCGCCTTCTTCAGCTTTTGCCTTCGGTTCCTGTGCAGCCGTCACAAGTACTTCTGCAAAGCTATTCCGGGGAACTAAAAAAGGTTCAGGGCAAAGCCGACGTCAGCGTGAAGCTTCATGGCAGGGAGGCCGACCTACCTATTTTTCTGACCAGAAATGGATCGCCCACTCTTCTTGGACGCAACTGGATGCGTGAGCTGGGCATCAGCATCTCCGACCTTGATGTGAACATCCACGCACTTTCCGACATCAAACACCTAGTCCAAGATTACGCCGAAGTGTTTGAAGAAGGCCTGGGTACATTCAAGGGTGCTAAAGCTTCTCTACATGTTCGTTCAGATGCTCCGCCTCGGTTCTTCAAGCCACATCCACTGCCGTATGCCTTGACAGATGGAGTAACTCAAGAAATCCATAGACTGAGAATAGATTCCATTCTTGTTTCAGTCAAAACAGCAAAGTGGGCTGCACTTATTGTTCCTGTGACCAAAAGGGATCGACGCATCAGAATCTGTGGAGACTTTGGTGACACCATAAACTCAGTGGCAACAGTGGAGCAGTACCCCATTACAAGGATCGAGGACCTGTGGACTGTGCTTGAAGGAGATGAGAAATTCACAAAATTGAATTTGCGAGATGCGTACCAGCAAGTTGTCCTTAACGAGGCCTCTAGGAAGTACGTCACCATTTCGACGCATATGAAGTTATTTCAATACACCAGGTTGCCTTTTGGCGTCTCATCTGCTCCTGTCATATTTCAGCGCGAGATGGAGAACTTGTTCAAGGGACTGGCACATGTGCCAGTCTATTTCGACGACATTCTTGTGACTGGCGAAAATGATGCTGAGCACCTTCTCAACCTTCGTGCTGTGCTTAGCAAACTTCAGGAATCTGCCCTCATGTTGAAACTTGAAAAAAATGCAACTTCTTCGTGCCACAAGTTGAGTATCTCGGGCACATCATCAGCAAGAAAAGCCTTTCCCCGAATGTTGACAAGGTAGCAGCCATTCTGCATGCTACTGTGCCTCAGGATGTCAGGGAACTTCAGAGTTTCTTGGGACTTGTCAACTTCTACAGGCGCTTCTCGCCCAATCTTTCATCCCTCTTTTCTCTACTGTACTTGCTTCTTTGTGAAGGGAAGAAGTGGCAGTGGGGACAAGAACAACAATATGCATTTACTGCCTGCAAGCACTTGGTGACATCAGCTCCAATTCTTGTGCATTTCAATCCTGCCAGGTCTGTTTGCCTCAGCTGTGACACATCACCTCATGGTATAGGTGCAGTTCTCGCGCAAAAACATGCTGATGGCCGGGAACATCCCATTGCTTTTGCCTCGAGGAGCTTGTCAAAAGCACAACAAAACTACAGTCAACTCGACAAGGAGGCACTGGCTTTAGTGTTTGGTGTGGATCGGTTCCACCAGTACTTGTGGGGCATCTCATTCGATGCACACACTGACCACAAGCCACTTCTTTGACTGCTGGGTCCCAACAAGCCCGTTCCCGTGCAAGCTTCGCCTCGAGTGGTCAGGTGGGCTCTGAAGGTTTCTTAGTTCGTATTTGTATACAAGTACAAACTTGTGTACAAGCCTGGCAAAGAGCTCGGCTACGCTGATGATCTTAGTAGACTGCCTCTCCCAACTGACACTACTGCATTACCAAGACCTGCTGAAATCTTGCTAGAGGAGGCATATCCAAGACTCCTTTCACCAGGTGTTGTAGCCCAAGCCACACGAAATGATCCAGTTCTTGGCCATGTCGTTCTTGCTGTTCTGAAAGGAGAAAGCCTCCCAGTAGGACCAGAGTAGAACCATTTCAATACCAGAAGCCCAGAACTCAGTCTCTATGAGGGTTGCCTACTCTGGGGATCAAGAGTAGTGATCCCAAGGTCATTGCAGGCCCAAGTTCTTGGTGTTGTTCTGCCAGCCACCCGGGTATTGAGAAGAGCAAGATGATTGCCAGGAGCCATGTTTGGTGGCCTGACATTGACAATGACATCACCAACAGCGTGAAGAGCTGCGCTATGTGCCAGACTCAACATCGAGCTGCACAGCCGGTTCAGCAGACGCCGTGGCCTTTTCCACAGCGACCTTGGTCACGGCTTCACATTGGTTTTGGGGGACCATTCCTAAGTCACACATTCTTGGTTATTGTGGATGCGTTTTCAAAGTGGATAGAAATTTTTCCTGTGTCTTCCAGATCTGCAGAAGCTACCATTTCTGCCTTGAGAATTGCGTTTGCTCAGCATGGCCTGCCTGATGTCACAGTTTCTGACAACGGTCATGCCTTCACCAGTGCCCAGTACCTTATTTATTTATTTATTTATGAATACTGCAACCCTAACATAGGGTTTTGGCAGGGTGGATATACATTTGATAAGTTTACAAATCGGCAAACAAATAAATATAAAACAGGTAAGGCATTTACACACTTTCATAACGAAAAAAAACAACAACAACAGTGGTTTGTAATAAACCGGCATAAGAACATATAGAGAAATGAGTGCTAAATTCAAGATGATCACAAGTGGTGAATGGTTACAGTGATTGAAATAAACAACAGGAGCACATGTCATAAAAATTAGACACTCGCTGCTTGAGTTCTCAACTCGAAATGGAATACACCGCATGCTTGTACCGCCGTATCACCCTGCCTCAAACGGCGCAGCTGAACAAGTTGTACAAACTGTGAAGAACAAATTCAAGAAGTCTGGTTCTGGGAACTTCCAAAGGCACATCTCCAGGTTTCTATTCCACTATAGGACCACGCCACATGAAGTGACAGGTCGGCCACCGTGTGAACTCTTGACGGGAAGAATGTTCAAGACTCCGTTGGATGTCCTCAGACCAAGCCTGCAGGCATCTGTATTTCTAAATCAACTCAAGCAGAAGTTGTATGCTGACAGAGGGTCCGGGCAGGCTCCATCACTGCAGCCAGGTGATGATGTGTACGTGCGAAACTTTCGCAGGGGCACACCCTGGGTGCCTGCCAGTGTCGTGGACGGCACTCCATCATCAGCCAGTGCCCGTTTTGAAGATGGCACCTTGAGAAACTGACACAGCGACCACTTGCGCCTTGTGCAGACAGAAACATTGGCCTCTTCTGAAACTGCTATCGCTGCAGCTCCACCACAGTTGGAGCCGCCGCTTCATCATGCGCCAGCTGTTCCAGAAGTGCCTCATAAGGAACCGCTACCTGAAACTAGCTTCCCTGAGAGTAGCTGTGCCACGGAGAGTGACGAGACTACGCTAAACAGTGGTGTGCACGTGAACAGTGACTCTGTCGTGCCTACGCCTAGCACGCCGAAGTTGCGACGTGGCACGAGGACTAGGAAACAAGTGAATAGGTACTCCCTGTAGTCTTCCTCCTAAGAGGGGAGGAGTGTTACAATGTTAGCGTTGATGCAGCGCCCCCACACGGCGCTGATAGTTGTGTTGAGCCGTGCAAGCCTAACACAGCGGGGGGGGGGGGGGGGGGGGGGGGGTTGAAAGAAAAAACACAGTTTGTTCTGGGCAAAGGGCTCAACATGTTCTCATGTTCTTCGCAGGCCTGATGGCTCACTGTTCACGGTAGTCACTACCACCCGGCCATCTATTAATCTACACATTTAACACTCATCAGCACACCTAACATTCTGTCTCCCCCTAACCCACTTGCCTTGTCTGGGAATGCAGTCGGTTACCCTTAATGGCCAACGGTTATCTTGCCTATGCGCTACGTGCCCGGCCCATGTCCTTCTTCTCGATTTTGACCATGATTATCCTTAACGCCGATTTGTTCCCCGATCCACTCTGCTCTCGTTGTCCTTGTTGTGTAGTGTGACTGTGGCCGCTAGGTTTGGCGGCAACAGGAAAGACAGCTACGAACATGTGATGTGTGGCCGCTCCACCTGGTGGCGTTGAAGTGGTCCTGAGTTGTTTTTGATACGCATGTTCTCAGTTGGTGTTTGCCGGCGGAGTGTGGCCTGGCGTAAATAAACGTTCGTGTTCCTCAACCCACAATCTGTAACACTGGCGACGAGGATGGGATAGGTCGGCATGACGTCCAGCGCGGCAATGGAGGACGGGCGGAACCCCGGACAACGGGAGGCCTCCAGCAATGGCTCCCTCGAGCAATTCAACTTGTCACAGCCGGACGAGTGGGAAGACTATGCTCAGCGGTTTGAATTCTTCCTGGAGGCGCAGGGCATTACGGACGCTGGAAAGAAAAGGTCGACGTTTCTCAGCCGTTGCGGGGCCGCGACGTTCCAGTTGGCCAAGGCCCTCGTCGCGCCGGACCAGCTGAAAGATACGCCGTACGAGGACATCATCGCTGCCCTTCGAAATCATCTTTCGCCGAAACCACCGGAATTGGCGCGGCGATACGAGTTCCATCGCAGAGAGCAAGCAACCGGTGAGTCCGTCGCTGCATACCTCGTGGCTCTGTGAACGACTGCACAGCACTGCAACTTCGTTGACCTTGATAAGGCACTCCGAGACCGTTTCGTTTTTGGCCTGAGGAACGATAAAGCTAAACGGCGCATTTTGGCGAAAAAAGAAGTGTCGCTCGCCTGCGCCGTCGAGGAAGCTACCGCCGCTGAGGCCATCGACCGTGAGGCCAGCCAGTCGCGACTAAACGCAACCGCGCCGCGTACCGAGCCAGTGCACCAGGGAACTGTCGCCGACTGTGGAGAGGACCAGGACGACCTCGAGGAATGTGTTCGTCAGTTACGTGCAGACACCAGTCAACGCAGGGACGCAGGACTGGGGGGCGGATCTTGTGCCGGTTGTGGGGGGCCGCACGAGCGCCGGTTGTGTCGTTTCCGTGATGCCCAATGCCGAGGTTGCGGAAAAACAGGGCACATAGCCAAGGTCTGCCGGTCTCAACGGAAGCGGGACCGCCGTGCAAATTTTGAGACAAACGGCAGGACGGACAATTCGTGGACCACTCCGCGTGCGAGTACCTCGTACTGCGACAACCTCACGGAGACCGCCATCCACGATGTGCCCCAGCCCGGGACAAAGAAGATTCACGTTGCTGTCGAAATCGAAGGTGTGGAATGCGAGATGGAGGTGGACTCGGGATCCACGTTTTCGCTCATCTCCGAGGCTACGGCCAGGCAAATCTTCCCGAATGGGTGCATCCCGAAGTTGAAGCAACTCGACGTCGTTATGAAGGACTATCAGGGAAACTGCATAGCAGTGCAAGGGATGGCCACAGTTACAGTAAAATTCAGGGGTTTTGCTGGCTCACTGAAAGCGGACATTGTCACCCACTCTGCCAAAGATCACACCCTTTCACGTGTTCTTAACTGGGTCTGGAAGGGGTGGCCAAGGGGCAGCATGGGCCCAGAGTTTTCTGCCTTCACATCAAGGCAGCACGAACTGACTGCCCACAAGGGTTGCCTACTCTGGAGTGACTGTGTGATGATTCCACAAAAGCTGCGGTTCCGGGTGCTGGAAGCACTGCATTCTGGGCACCCTGGTATTATCCGGATGAAGGCACTTGCCCGCAGCTATGTGTGGTGGCCAGGCATGGATGCTGCCATCGAAGAATGGGTCCGATGCTGCTCCTCTTGTCAGGAGACACGGCCAGAGATGCCTCGAGCACCCGTCCACCCTTGGGAGGCGTCTCGGAACCCATGGTCCCGCCTCCATATGGATTTTGCCGGTCCCTTTCAAGGGCAGACCTTCTTAATCGTCATGGATTCGTATTCAAAGTGGCTGGAGGTCATCCCAACATCCTCTATGACGTCACAGACAGTAATCAGGGCATTACGGAAACTGTTTGCCACGCATGGTCTCCCAGACACCATTGTCTCAGACAACGGAGCTCAGTTTAAGTCCACAGAGTTTCGAGAGTTCCTGGACAGCAATCTGATCCGCCAGGTAACTTCGGCACCATTCCACCCATCTACGAACGGCCAGGCAGAAAGGATGGTACGCACTACCAAGGAAGGCCTATCTCGCATCATCCAGGGGAACTGGGCACGGCGCCTGGCAGATTTCACACTGCAGCAGCACGTAACCCCACACACGACTACGGGGCGATCCCCGGCCGAGCTCCTGATGGGCCGCAAGTTGTCAACGATGTTGGACCGCCTGCACCCTGATCGGGCCCCAGAGAAGTCCACACGGTTGGCAGATTCCCTGTCCAAACCACGCACGTTTCAGCCTGAAGACCCTGTCTTCGCGCGTAACTATGCTCAGGGGCCTCTGTGGATTCCAGCAGTGATCTCCCGTGCAACCGGACCAATATCTTATGAGGTCACGGCCCCTGATGGTCGAGTACTGCGCAGGCATGTGGACCAACTCCGTCGCCGGACGGTCGGGCCTACCCAAACGGCGGGTGCAGAACTGGAAAGACCGCAGCCTGAAAGACGACCGATGTCAACGTCTACCCCTGAAGGCTCGAGTTCTGTCCCGGTGGCCCCTGAAGGCTCGAGTTCGGCCCCTGTGGAGCCAGACGCACCTGGGGAGCAGCCGACTCCTGTGGTTAGCAGTGTGCCCCCACAGGAGGGCGGAACCGTTCCACTGACTGTCCCAGTGGAGGCAAATGGCGAGCCTTTAGTGCCACCACTGTGCCTTCGTCGCTCGCAGCGTGCTCGGGGAACCTCGCACCATCTAAGAGACTACGTACTGGCCCTGGCTGACTGCTGAGTTCAAACTTGGAGGGGAGGGGTGTTGTGTAGTGTGACTGCGGCCGCTAGGTTTGGCGACAACAGGAAAGACAGCTACGAACATGTGATGTGTGGCCGCTCCACCTGGCGGCGTTGAAGTGGTCCTGAGTTGTTTTTGATACGCATGTTCTCAGTTGGTGTTTGCCGGCGGAGTGTGGCCTGGCGTAAATAAACGTTCGTGTTCCTCAACCCACAATCTGTAACAGTCCTTAAGGTTGCCCCTATTATTTTCCTTTCAATCGGTGGCTGTGTTGTCCTCAATTTAAGCTGAACCCTCTTTGTAAACCTCCAGGTTTCTGCATCATAGGTAAGTATTGGTAAGATGCCACTGTTATATACGTCCCTCTAGAGGGATAGTGGCAACTTACCAGTCATGATTTGAGAGTGCTTGCCGAATGTGCTCCACTCCATTCTTATTCTTCTAGTTACTACACTCGTGGTTTCGCTCCGCAGTTACTACCTGTCCTAAGTAGACATACTCATTTACAAGTGCACTGCTACCTTGCTCGAAGCGCTGTTCTCGTCAAGAGGTTCTTTAACATTACTTTCGTTTTCTGCAGACTTAATTTTAAGACCTACGTTTCTGCTTTTCTTGCCTAACTCCATAATCATGAGCTGCAGTTCGTCCCCTGAGCTACTCAGCAATGCAATGTCATCGGCAAAGCACAGGTTACTAAGGTACTCTCCATTAACTCTTATCCCTAACTGTTCCCACTCTAGGCCTCTGAAAACCTGTTGTAAGCACGCGGCAAATAGCATTCGGGAGATTGTATCCCTTTGTCTTACACCCTCTTTGATTGATATTCTGTTGCTTTCTTTAAATGTGAAGAAGGCAAAGCGGGCGAAAAAATAACTCACCAGCAGAGACTGAACCTGCGACCTTCGAATAACGTGTCCACTGAGCTACACCGATGTTTTTTTTTACATTCACATTTCACTTACTTCTAACACCCCCTATACTTTCTCTGGCATTATTGCCTTTTAGGTCTTATTGTTACTATGTAGCAGCATTAATTCTGATGCTAAATATTATACAGTGTAGACCACTTATAATGTAACTGCTTATAGTGCAGAACTGCTTACAACGCGGTCTTTTTCTACTCCTGGTTACCCTCCCATAGAATCCCATGTATATGCTTACCGCTTATTGTGCAGTCCTCAAAGATGAAAGACCGGTTATAATGCAGCTGCCGGAAATTGTTTGTGACAAACGCGGTAGGAAGTAGCACTGGGTGTGCCGCTGGGGAGCGAACAACGAATTCGTTACGGAGGAGGGGGGGACAGGGAGTGAATGAAAGAAGGGCGAAGAGAAGGAAAAGAAAATGAAAAAGAAGAAAGATCACGGGAACTGCGCGGGCTAGCCGAGTAAGGGAGGAGGACTGTAGCCTCGGTGACCGATAAGCATTTGCACCAGCGCCGATGCGGATACAGTGCAGTAAGCGTCATCGATTTACACGTCCCGGACGGCCCCGGACGCTGGCGCCGCATTCGTTTTTCTCGGAGACCAACTGGAAGCTCAGCCCACTGGTTTGGGATCACTCGGACGCATGTTCGTTTTTTGCTTGCCTCGGGGGCCTGGGGGCAGCCCGAGACCACCCTAACAATTTCTTTCGACCAGCTGGCAGACGACAGCGCAGTGCGCATGCTGTGCGGCCATCTTAAATTAGACACGGGAAATTTTCGATGCGCTCATGCTCTCTCTTACTTTTCTGTCCGCTTCTCGCATGTTTCTGGATTTCGCATTGTTAGCACACCCAGTAGTTCTTGCCATCGGTGTTCTGAGCCACGTCGAGCATGTGCGTATTCTTGAAGGTCGGGCAAACGCGCGTTATGCTGGCAAGGAGAAACAGCGGTGGAACGACTGCGCCGGTCTACGATGCGCACGCGCTCGAGTAGTTCACTTACAGTAAGTTGCATCCCAACAGAAATAGGTATAATTCACTACGTAACTGCTGTTTAGGTTGCAAATGAGTCAGCGTTGTGGCCTGTGTTTCACCTATGGAGGGAGCAGAAGGAATAGCAGACGCCACGGCTAATGCAGTCAGAATCAAGCAAGCAGATGGCCCGAGGCCGCTCGGGCTGGCTCGGGACTTTTAGATCACGTGCATGTGACGTAGCCACCTGTGAGCCGAGGCGTCCGCGAGTGATCCGGGACTTGGTACATCAATGAAGCTCAGTATGTCGCTAGCGTGGCTTCGACTGCGTACCATTCAATGTGGCATGTGCGATCCCGTCCTTATCAACTACATGCGCTGAACAGCTTCCTGTCGGGAAATACGTCGTTGCTATCGCGCTTGCAACAAATATCGCGTTTGCTTCTACGTCTGTATATTGAAAACTTTTTACGGTTTTATGACACGAGCTTTCACTTTAGCTGACAGTGCGCTGTCGTACGTAACCGTGGCGAGTTGTGGACCGTCGTTGCTGATCTCCGTGCTGCGAACGTGAACTATCACGCACCCTGTTCTTCGTTCATGGTTAGTGCGATCTTTTTGACACCAAATCCTCATGTTTTGGACAAGCATTCTGCGACAACATACCAAACGGCAAGCTAGGCCTAATCGGCGTTAGTTGCGCTTCGATCGGCAACGATCACGTGAATCTAAGTTAGGGTATGGTACTGAATCAACGAAACTCTTTGCAGGGGCCACACTTGACAGGACGAGATACATATTGTTAAATGAAAATGAGGACGGCACGTGTAGCGCTCAATAGTGGTTCCTGATTCAATTGCGATGTCTTCATCATCATCATCATCAGCCTGACTACGTCCACTGCAGGACAAAGGCCTCTCCCATGTTCCGCCAGTTAACCCGGTCCTGTGCTTGCTGTTGCCAATTTATACCCGCAAACTTCTTAATCTCATCTGCCCACCTAACCTTCTGTCTCCCCCTAACCCGCTTGCCTTCTCTGGGAATCCAGTTAATTACCGTTAACGACCAGCGGTTATCCTGTCTACGCGCTACATGCCCTGCCCATGTCCATTTCTTCTTCTTGATTTCAACTATGATATCCTTAACCCCCGTTTGTTCCCTAATCCATTCTGCTCTCTTCTTGTCTCTTAAGGTTACACCTACCATTTTTCTTTCCATTGCTCGCTGCGTCGTCCTCAATTTAAGCTGAACTCTCTTTGTAAGTCTCCAGGTTTCTGCTCCGTAGCTAAGTACCGGCAAGATACAGCTGTTATATACCTTCCTCTTGAGGGATAGTGGCAATCTACCTGTCATAATTTGAGAGTGCTTGCCGAATGTGCTCCACCCCATTCTTATTCTTCTAGTTACTTCAATCTCGTGGTTCGGCTCTGCGGTTATTACCTGCCCTAAATAGACATAGTCTTTTACAACTTCAAGTGCACTATTACCTATCTCGAAGCGCTGCTCCTTGCCGAGGTTGTTGTACATTACTTTTGTTTTCTGCAGATTAATTTTAAGACCCACCTTTCTGCTCTCCTTGTCTGACTCCGTAATCATGAGTTGCAATTCGTCTCCTGAGTTACTCAGCAATGCAATGTCGTCGGCGA